CCTATTGAGGCCACATGACTGCGTGTCTGGGGTCAGGGCGTAGGTATGACAGTCATGCCCCCTCCCCTCAAGGCATGGGCTGTTCCAGTTGTGGGACTGGTGACTCCATCAGCTCAGACAGGTCTCAGAAGCCCCTGAGGCTCGGCGTCAGCTGGAAAGAATGAGGAAGGTACTGGTATCGGCCTCACGGGGTTACTGGGAAGGACCTTGTGATTCCGGAGGGCGGGGGGAGGGGGGCTCAGAATTCCTGAGGAGAGAACTCGCCCAGGGACACTGTAGCTGGCAGAGGCCAGCCTGCCTTGTCCACACAACCTGTGCAGCTTCTGGAGCCAGGCGGGCACAGGCTGGGTGGGGTGGGATGTTCTGTGCTGTGTCCCCATTGACCGCTCTTCTCTGACGTTTCTTGCCCTGGTGTGCAGTGGGCTACAAGTTAGGCTGTTCAACACACGGTCGGGGTGCTGAACCCAGCTGCTCCTTCAAGAGAGATGGGGCTATCTGGTTCCACAAAGACTTACGGCCTCAGAACAGGTCACCATATAAGGAGCCCCGTGGCAGAGTGGTTATACCTGGGGTTGCTAATGGAAGGTCAGCAGTTCGAAACCACCAGCTGCTCTGTGGCAGAAAGAGGAGGCTTCTACTCCCGGAAAGAGTTCCAGTCTCAGAAACCCACGGGGGCAGTTCTACCCAGTCCAGCGGGGTCGCTGTGCATTGGAATTGCCCTGATGACCTCGAGTTATATATGGGTCCACCAACTCGGAAGTCAACAGCCCCTTCTGGTACGGGACAAAAAAAGGCTGTTCCCCAGCTCGCCTCCCCCCAATATATGCCCGACCTAGGGCGCTGCTTGCAGTTAATGGTAAATGATTCACAAGTTATCTCCTGAAGGCACCAGCCATCCAGAGCAAGCAGACCCTATTATCTATCCCACCGTAGGTGGGGCTCACTCCCTACTGTTAGGGACAGTGGATGGCTTCCCCTGAAAGCTTAGAGTAAATCAAGTCTCCAGCTCAAGGACAATCAAGGTTAGGCCACCACCATGAATCTAGGATCCGCCCATCTTGTCACATGCATACCCTTAATCCCTCCTCTTCCTGTAGCATGTACACCCCTAGATCATCCCCCTCCCATTACTGTATTACCTATAGTACAACCCCTTCTGTGATGTACGTATTTACCTATAATCAGGGGACTTGCACGCCCCCAAAGGATACATAAGCCTTGGTTAGAAATAAATCTCTCTCTCTTCTCCCCTCTCCTCCGCCTGCGCTGGTGAGATCATGGCTTCCAGGAGGTAGGTGAGCATGCTACTATGAAAGGTGTCTAACCCCTTCATTTGACTCTCTCTCCTATCTTCCCTGACTTTACTGTACTCTTTATATATCTTAACCGTACAATTGCGCCTATCGGACCCGTGATACAGTTGTGAGGGGCTGGTTTCCCCCACACTCTGGGGAGAAGGAAGATGCCATCTACTCCAGTCAAGACGGGCAGCCTCGGAAACCCTGTGGGCGGGAATGGCCTGGCGGGCACAGGTTTGGTTTGGCTATCCTATCTGGGCGTGGCTCTTACCTCTCGCTTGGCTCTCCGGAGGAACATCTCGTCGGTGAGCCGGAAGGCTTCCCTAAGGGTCCCTGCAGGGTCCGTGGCCAGTCCTAGCTGGCGGGCAGCATTGGTGTGTACGTGCACTGAGGCGAACTTTGCGGCGTCCACCCCTCCGTGACCATCGAACACGGCAAAGTAGGCTCGGTCCACAGAGTCCTGCATGGGGCCGGGTGGGGTGGGGGGTGATGACGACAATGCAGTGAGATTTCCCAACTTCCGGGCCTCACCTGTCCTGTGCCAGGCTAGCTCTGAATGTGC